CAGCCGCACCTAACATGGTGAACAAACGCTGACCAGGAAGCCGTCCACTATGGAAGCCGTCGCGCCTGGGTTTTTTTTTTTTTGTAACTCATCATATGTATGATGAGGGGGACACATATTTCAAAGAGGCGGTGTCCACTCGCCTCTATCACAGGAATTTCATCAGACTTGCTGGCTTTTATACCGCGTCCTCTATTCCTGCTGCTCATCGTCGGGGATTGCTTATTCGTTTAACCTTATTTCGCAACTAACCCGCTACTACAGGCCGTCCGGCTATCCGCGACCTGCCGACCCCCCCGGTAGCTTAGAGCCCAGCTATGGTGACCGTTCCCACTGGGAATCAAAGTCCCCCCCCCGGGCCTAGTTGTGAATATGCATACGTACGTAAGTATGTATGTATGTACATATCAATGCTTCATTTCAAACAAGCAAGTGTCTTTGAATGTTTTTGAACTACAGTATCATCACTTCGGCAACACGTCAAACGCGCCTTCAGCAACAAACCAAAGGCGGCGGTTTGACTTCTGCAACAAATCAAGTTAGCTAACTGCGGCATCTTGCCTTCGCCAGTCTTTCACATAAGCTGTCATGCTTTCGGCAACCGTCCAAATGCAGTTTCGTGCTTATGGCTGTCGATCAAATACGGCGGTTGCTGGTTTCGTGCACGATCATTCGGAGTACAGATTTGCCGAAGTCAATATCAGTATGAGCTGTTATAAGCATCGTTCACTTGTGGTGGCTGTGATTTGCAAGACAGCACGCTTTGCGGTGGTGTTCGTTCATCCTCCGTTTTTAACGTGAGTAGGCTTAAAGTCACAAAAACAGCAACCTTTGCCAATGCCTGATTTGTACCTCAACGATGTACCCAAACATGTTGCGCAACATGTGTGAAAAGACGCGCTGCCAGGAATGACCGTGTGCATGTGTGTACGTGTGTGAATTTTCGTGTAGGTGCAGATGCTAATGTGTAAATTTGAACTATGTGTTTGTATATGTGGATAAGAGTGAAAGTTCGAGAAATGTTCCACACGCAAATGCACTGGGGCACGATCGCCTGGTCGGCTAACAGGAAAATTCAAATTGAAAAGTGCCTTTCAAGTGAAAAGACGTGCGAGGAAAAGTTTACGCGTGGAATATTAGCCATTTCCGCCAGTTCACAAAAGAAAAAAAAAAGGTTTTGTGCCCCGTTTAACCGGGACCTTTAATTCCCGCTGCCGATCCTGCTACCAGAAGGTGAGTCAGCTAAAGGCAACTAGGCCTAACATATGGATGTATGTAACTGAGTGTGTCACCTTTTTTTCCTTTTTTTTAAACGTGTATAAAAGTTGCGTGACAAATAAACAAAATTTTTAACTAAATCCAAAAAAAAGGTAAAATAATAAATAATGCTTTACATACATATATTATATTAGCAAAATATAAATATAATATAATAAATTATGTCCTGGCAAGATTAACATAAATGAGTTGAAGAATAATATATATTCCGTGAAACTAATAAATCAAATAAACAAAAGGCACCAAGCACATGAACGCACACATATGTGAATATAGACGCACGTACATACGTATAACTAAACAATTGACATGTGAATATACGTACACAGCCTAACAGCCTAAAAAAAAAAGGATAAAAAGGGTGATCACATAACAACGTCGATACCAAGATGATATTCACAACAAAAAAAAGGCTCAGCAAACAAAATTATTACAGGTTGTCGAGCACCAGGAGACACAAGAGTGTTGGAAAACAAAATTTTGGTGTTAAGCCTTTCTACCACCAAGGCAGCTGGTATGTACATACGTGTGTTTTATACATAGCGACCACCGATATACATACAGGGCATACAAAACCCCAGGAACGGCGACAAGTGCATATGTGAGGTGAACGACCGGGAATACACAAGGAATGAAACAAGGAGACCAATTGCAATACATAGCTGAGAGGAGTCTGGAACACATTTAATAAAACATACATACATACATACATTCCAGAGCGCCGGACTCCACGCGCGGAGTATCAGAACGCTTCCAGGCGCTCATGTCACGGCGCTCTGTCGCTCACAATGGACTGCCAGTGCATTCATCGTACACCACGTTAAATTTACGTTTACCTGATTTTTTTTTTTTTTGTTCTTTTCACCACACTTGCATCTTCACTTCTTAAGTACATACTATAGTTGCTATTATTCCACCATAACCTCAAAATTAATTTTGCGCACTTTTTTTACCTTAAAGGTTCACGTTAAGTTTTTTTGTTACTTACTTATGTATCTTTGGTTTCAGCCTAAAACTAATTTACACTACGCTTGGGTCCAGCACCACTAAAATAGGGCCGGTTCCCACTTTTCCCAAGGCCACAGCAATTAGGTGGTAGTTATCATTGTGCTAAAATTTTTGTTCTACGATTTTTTTATATT